TGGGTGCCCACATTTTAGTACTGCGCGAAATATAATCCGCGCGAAATGCTTTGTGGTGTAATTCCAGATAATTATTGTTAGTAATGCAAATCAGTTGATTTATTAACGCATATACATATGTTTTAAGTTGTCCTGGTAACATTAAAAATCAAAAGATCTTCATCTTGGACAATTTCAGTCGGGATATTCTCAGGTTCCACGTAGTTTTCCATCACGAATGCCTGCATTTTGCTGTAGATCCTCAAACTTGCATTCGACAACAACATGCAGAAGCCACAACGGAGAGGATGCATTTGAACTCTTGCTAATTTTGTTTGAACTATAAAGTATAATGTTATAGGCAGTACTGTATGTATTAGAATGCTAATAAAGATTATTGTTATTCTTATTGTTATTGTTAATGTATTAAGCAAATGAGAACGATACAATGATTTAATGATTTAATAATGTTCGACAACTACTGAATTTATATTATAACAATGTAGTGCCAGGATACTCGCAACAGTGTACCCAATTACGGCGAGTTTGGAAGGTTACCGTATTGGTAAATGGTATTGAAAATTTATATTATAAATTCTCATTTGTTTCTCCCCCTCGTTATCCCAGAACCAGCCATTGTTGGTCGAGCACTGTCATCGATATATGTGTAGCCATTGATTATTTTGTAGAGTAGAACTAAATCCAAATATTCGTGCCAATAGGTTAAGGGAAGTAAGTTGAGTTGAAGTAGTCTTGTTGTATATGGAACGTTGGATAAAACCGAGATTTAAAATGTATTTTGTCGCCCTTCTCTGTACCTTCTCGATATTCTCGATTAATTTGATTGTTTGTGGAGACCATACTTGAGACGCATAGGAAAAGTTGTTGCGGACCAGTTGTAAGTAAAGGTACTTCCTCTCCCCGATGTCATGCATTTCCTCTCCCCGATGTCATGCGAACAAACCGACCCCAGTAAAGGAGGATAAGTGGTTAGGTAAGTCGTTTATGTAAATAGAGAAGAGGAAGGGACTCAAGAATGATCCTTGTGGAACGCCAGATGTAATAGGCAAGGATTGTGATGTAGCTCCATGAACAGTTATCCGCTGGAAGCGTCCTGATAAATAATTTTGAAACCAGAGAAGAACAGAACCAGAGAAACCAAATTCACGCAGTTTTTGCAACAAGTTGGAGTGGTCAACAGTGTCGAAAGCCTTCGCAATGTCCATAAAAACAACTTCAGTTTGTAATCCCTTGTCCAAGTTCTATCCAATAATGGTTAAAATGGATAACAATTGTGTTGCACACGACCTACCGCTTACGAAACCAAACTGCGCTGAATGAATGTTAGATTGTATATGATGAGATATATGGTTGAGTACACATCGTTCAAGAGTTTTGCTTACGATGGATAACAAGGAGATTGGGTGGTAATTTTCAACGTAGTCCTTGTTACCTTTCTTGTGTATTCGAATAATGTTCGTTAATTTCCATTCCGCGGGAACCTGGTATATTTTGAGTGACTTACTAAAAAGGTAATGAAGTGATGGCGCCAATTGGTGAGCACATTCTTTCAGAATATGTGAAGGAATCCCGTCAGGACCATGAGCTTTGGAAGGGTTTAAGTTCTGTAGAGCATGGCACACTTCTTCTTGGGTGAGATCAATTGATAAAATACTTGATATTGAAGAAGATGAACTAGGTTGAGTTGAGGATGGTTGTTCCAAGACGCTGGTGTATACCGAATGAAAGTACTCGTTAAACATTGATGCAATATTATGCGGTGCGGATGCCTGTGATCTACTTTCAGGATTGTTCGTACAAATTCTCGAGACTGAATTGGGTACACTTCCAGAACTTGACTTAATTTTGAAGATGGACCTAAAACGTTTTGGATTAATCTTTAATGTGCTGCCTAAGGATTGGAAAAACGACTCTTTGCTTTCTTTAATTGCTTTCTTGACTTGTCAATGAGCTCTTAATCGACTGTATTTTTCTTTTAGATAGTCAGTTCCTCGGCTCTCTTACGAGTGATAACTTTCTCACGAATTTGATGCAAGATGGTTGGGGTTATCCGCGGAGGTGAACTTTTTGAATTTACATGTTTTGTGGGGATAAATTCGTGTACAGCAGTCAACACACCATTCTTCCAAATTGACAAGTCATCATCGATACTAGAATCAGTTCCATTGTTTGTCATAGGAGAACAATTATCCATGTCTATTAGACGTTTTCGTAGATCATCAAAGTTCCCGCTTCTGTAATCGTAGAGCAAACGTTTATTTGACAAGATGTTGTTAGATGCCTTGGAAAACGTGAATATAGTAATTTAATGATCAGTTTTCATTCCTAACTCGGTTGGGTCGCAAATGTCTAAAATCGATATTTGTTCAGATTGGTTCATAATTATTAAGTCCAGAATGTTTAATTCTCTCGTAGGGATGAGGCAGAATTGAGACATGAAGTAATCATCCAAGATATCGCAGAAATTTTATCCTAATGTTCCAGTTGATGTATGGTTAGAGTCTGTCCAAGAAATATTTGGAAGGTTGAAATCACCAGCAATAATGATCTTGTCGTAATTTGGAAGTAAATTATCAGCCATGGACCTAAGATCAGACATATCTTTACTGACAGGTGGTCTGTAACAGCACACAAGAAGCCATTTTTCGTGGTTCGGTAGAGTGCATTGGATAGAAACAGCCTCTAAGTTAGAAGTCGCAATAGAAGTAAGTTGACTGTCAACTTACAAGAGTCAATAAATGTTTTAGTTCTTGTTTGCATTTTGAACGCACACTTTATTCTTATCATGAATTTTGCTTGCATTACATAATCGTGAAACCATTTTTTTTGGCCGCCTAATCTCTTTTTGATATAAATTTTGACAAATATTGAAGTATTTGTTGATAAAAAATACTAATTATAAATGCGTTAATTGTTAATTGTTAATTGTTAATTGTTCTATTACTAGCAACCTTTTAAAATTTAAGAGCAACTTTTTCAATTTTCTGGCAACTTTTGAGCAGTTTTTGTAGCACCGTTTTTGGAAATTTACTAGCACGATCTGTAGAGGCATAATAGATGGTCAGTCGATGACATATTTTGGCGGACATATTTTAATGGACTATTCTTTGTGAAATAGTTTACACGTTCTTGTATCTCGTTACTTGTAAAGACCACTTTCACAATACAGACGGATTTAAATAATTACATAGCGAAATTATATTTTAAAAATACAAATACACTGTACGTTAATTTCGAGGAGTCAAATTGACTCCAAAAGTGGAGTAAATAAAAAAGGTACAGAACGACTCCTTTTTTGGAGTATATTTTACTCCTTTATTTACTCCATTTTTGGAGTAAATTTTACTCCATAAGTAGAGTTGTTTTTACTCCTCAAAGAGTAAAAACAACTCTACTTAAGGAGTAAAATTTACACCAAAAATGGAGTAAATAAAGGAGTAAAATTTACTCCAAAAAGGAGTCGTTCTGTACCTTTTTTATTTACTCCACTTTTGGAGTCAAGTCGACTCCTTTGGAGACAAAATGACTTCTATATATCGGAGTAAAGAAAAGTCTTTAACTAACTTTAGAAATCAATAAAGACATTTTTCGAGTCAAAATAATTTATTATCCCTACAAGTAAGGTATATTATAGCAGGAAATACAATTTGCTGGAGCATAATATAATGATATACTCTTACACCCTATAATATTTAATGAAGTTCTAAAATGAAATTTTTATTAGAATGATATCATGAATACATGTGGAATACAATTACAAGCCTGTCGGCATGAATTGAAACTGCAGCCCTGCAATTCTACCACAGCCCTCTGACCTAAAGAGCCCTTTTGCCAAGAGGTAACCACAAGTTGCTGTATATATACCATGGTGGTGTCATTGGTAGTGTATTAAATAAACTGCCCAGGATGACACTAGTATTATATACATAAACTTTTGGTTACAGTAGAGCTTGATTGACTCTCAGGGCGATGGACTCTTAGGGCTTGAGGACCCTTGACGGTTAAAAAGCTGATCAGAATCACTGGGCAGCAGGTTCCATTCCCAGCACAGTACCGGCTATTACATAGTTATCGTTCAAAAAATTTACATTTACAGAAAAGCTTTAACCCATTAAGTGGCAGCACTCTCTCCTTAATGAGCAAAAATTGTCCGACCACATTACACAGAAAAAATAAAAAAGTAAAGCACATTGCCACTTAAAGGGTTAATATTCTGTTCAATGTAGAATATTTACAAGTAAAATATACTGCATGTATTAAATGTATGTAGTGTCACTGCTCAATCAAACATGTCAAGCAAGTCCATTAGTAAAAATTTAGTACAAAACAAGCTGTATCCCACAAGTCGGCAACCCCATCCCTTGCATGGTTTGGTAATTCACAAAAATGTTCTCCAGCAAAAGAATAACATTTTCCAAATAGACCATGAAGTTCTTAGAATGCCATTAATGATTACATATAATACCACTTGTTTAGACAACTTGCCTTCTCCTGGGAAGCTTTTGTTAAATCCATATATTAATGACAATCCCTAGTAAGAAAAAATATACAAGGTTGATATATAACAGCAGCAAATTATTGATTGATGTTTGTGATGTTACTCTGAGTGTGCATCCACACCGGGCAAGCTGAAAAGTTAGTTTGGCCACGGTGGGAATCGAACCTGCAGCCTTTGGGATACAAGTCCAATGCTCTGTCAACTGAGCTACATGGTCAAGTCTGTTCCAGTTGATGATATTTCGCAACTGTGTCTAGTTCCTTCCATATCAGTGTACAGGGGTATTCAATGATACGATTATTTTGTGTGTGTTGGGGTCATGTACTCAGGTGAATATACGATGTTTGTGATGTTACTCTCACTGAGTGTGCATCCACACTGGGCAAGCTGAAAAGTTAGCTTGGCCACGGTCACAGGTTCGATTCCCACTGTGGCCAAGCTAACTTTTCAGCTTGCCTAGTGTGGATGCACACTCACAGTGTGCATCATCGCAAACATCATATATTCACCTGAGTACATGACACCAACACACACAAAATATAAATTATTGATTGATTGACAATACATTTTCTATTTTTGGTTGTTTGCATATACAAAGCAAGAAATACAGATTGAGAAATCATGTTGCTTGAAATAATATATGGATATATTATGCTGTCGTCAATACTTAGTCAAACACTCAGTAATAGAATATCTTTGAATCTCTCCAGCTATCAAACCGCAAATATTTGCTTAAACTTGACTCCATGTGACTGTCCATGTCAGGAATACACTATTTAGGATTCAATCCAATTTAAATTGTCTCAATAACAGTCGAAATTGTCAAAATAAGTCCAGTATGCGACGTGCGATCGCAAATGTGTATTTTTTGTTATTTACTTTTTATTTTGCGACACTTAAGCGTCAATAATTTCGCGACAAAATATGTTATTTTTTACCGCATCCTTTGACGTCACAGTAGAAAGCTAATGCATCACCTACGTCACGGTAGATTTGGTTTCCATCGATTTTCGGCCATTTTGCATCAGTGAATGCATCGGTCCCGAGTCCTTTTCCGCGTAAAATCTACTGTGGCATCATCAAATCTATTGTTTTAGAGCCCTACGTCACGGTAGATTTGTCCGCTGAGCGATGCATCGCATGCAGATTGCGGGCGCTCGCATCAGTTCACTGATGCAAATTTCAAAATCGAAATCTACTGTGACGTAACGAGGCATTCGATTCAAGTCATGGCGGCAAGGATATGCAAACACTATATGCAAATGAACAATGACATATTTAATGTATTTTTTTGATATTTTGGTTAGTGCTATAATTAAATAATTATAGATTAAATAACCAGTGATTGTAACTATATTTAGCTTGTTGTTAAATTATGTGAAATAATTTGACATTTCGCCTGGCTCATTTTGATTGGATACCGGTACTAAAAATAAAACTTTGGTGTGGGTCAAGACTTGCATCAGGCTCTGTATGTAATTATATTGCAGGTTAATTAATTGTAATTTTATTGCAGGTAATGCAGGTTAATTAATGAGATTTCTAATAGTGATGCAATATTGGTTAGAAAACTAAGGGGGAGTTTACATGAAAGGTAATTGGTTCAAGTTGCAGGTTCCAGTGGTATCTCCTATTACATTCCATTTTCATTTTATATGGAAATGAGCTGGCATGCCTCATGACAAGAGTCTAATTGCTTTGCATTGCCTGAGTTATTGGGCAATTACTGTACACTGCAAACAAAGATCATTACCTGGGCTTGCTCGCCTACCATGGTTAGGTACATATGCTTTGTCGGTGCAAATATAATTTGATATAAGCTGTATATGTCATTCTCTTGACAAATTTTAATCTTAGAATGATAGAATGATGGACGGTATAAATACTGTATATAACTGTAACTGGTGTATATAGGTTTTAATTATGAAATTTGCTCACAAAAGTGGTATATAGATTTAATAAAATTATATATATTTGTAGTTCTAATTCTCCCAATACTCTGTTTTGATTAGCCAGCATGGCACTCTGAGGATTACCATTGATAAGTGTATAGATATATTTGATGAAGATGTGCATTTATACAATACTACTGTGCTGCCTTTCTACATTGACATCATCTTAAAAGAGTACTATATTAATATATTAGTTGAAAGGCAGGCAAAAGGGGATTTGATAGAAGACATCTGATGATTCAATTATGTCATTATATATTGTTTATCATTGTACAGTTTGGTAGGTTCATTTGACAAACATTTTTCAACTAAAATAGTTCATTAAATCAATACATAGTTCATCACACACAGTATCACTATATATCTATTGATTTAAAGTTTGGGGTCATGTGTACCTAGTTAAACTTATAGAATTTTAAAACTCAGTGCTTGTTGTGTATTAGTTTACTGGTTTCCTGGTGACAGGGCAATATTCTCAGTAATTTAGAGTGTGGGCTAGTCACCATGCAGTTCATATCAAAGGCATCTATTGCTAGGGGCGAATAAAATTGACATACTGATGCCAACAACACTGTCCACACAGAGTAAGATTAGCAGCATAAGACAGAGTTGTATATAAATAAGTTTACCCATTAGAGCACAAAATACCTTTATGCACCATTCTAATGCTAGAAGATTTTGCTCATGGAACATTGGAAATTAGTGGAAATTAATAAGCCTCAGGAAAGGTGGTTAAGAAACATG